TCATGATTTCAATCTGTGAAATAAGTTATTGTATTTATATTTGTATTAAATAGAGCAAGAACAAAGATTGGTGCATAATAATATGAATTCATTTTATTTCGTTAGATTCTTACCATTTGCTTACAACTTAAAATATTTGAGAATCAGAGTTATTACAGATAATGACATACTTATACATGAGAGGGTGATTAAGGATGTATCTATGTATCATGATGTAGCGAAGATTCCGATAAAGTTGGTGAGGTCATAAAATGTTGTTTCGCATAGATAAAGTTTGGGAGGGAATGTTCCATAACATTGAAATGGTGATTAGAACTCGTGGAGTTAACAAACATTAGATGATTGTGTAATAAAGTAACTGAAAACAGATGGTAATAAAAAAGATATGAATTGGAATCAGTCGGTTATGAATGATGTAATTGTAAACTTCAGAAAGAGTTGGAACAATGAATGACGCAATAAATGGAGAATAAAAGGGGGGGGGTAATGTTACCAGGGAAAAGAAAGATTTATTACTGTCTCTTTCTGTATACATAGATCTGGTTGTAGATGTTTGATCGCTATCGCTTCGGTTAATTTCAGACGATTGCAGTTTGATTGTTTGTTAATCACCTTGAAGGACTTCAGGGCATCAAATGGGTGATGACAGATGAAATTTGACGTTTATTCAATAAATAATCTACAATATGTTATTGATTGTAAAAGATTGTCTGCTTTTATTCTAGTATACTTGTGCAAATATATCTACTACTTCAAAGTAATTAAAATTTTCTCATAATTTATGTTGTATATCATTTTATTATGGAAAGCCAAAAATATTTGTTTATGGCTTTCGTTCAAATAATTAGGAACACATAAGTGTTAATATACTAAATATTTAATTAACTTCATCTTTCCTCAAAACAATGGAAAAATTATTTATACTTTTACTTCAACCTGCAATAAAAGAACTCACTGAGTCGTATCAGTTTGATTACAAATGCAAAAGAAGTACCTTAGGTGACGTTTCTAATCTGCATCACAATATGGTGTTCAGCTTGGAAAAGGGTAAGAAGTACGCTCTATGAGCTTTTCTGGATTATACTTCTGCTTCTGATTCTATCTCAAGACAACTCTTACTTAACAAGTTAGTCAGCGTCAACACTGACAGCTGGATAACCGATTGGCTATGTTTTTACCTCTCTGGAAGGGAACAGTACACTGTGTTTGGAGGAAATTGTTCAGAATCTCTACTGTCTCATGAAGGTGTTTCACAAGGAGCTGTTCTTTCATCACTTCTTTTCTCTTTTTTTATTCATGATCTGCTATCTTCCACAGAAATACGTGGGCGATCTCATTGTATGTATGCCGATTTCTACCTCTTTACATCCCATATAAATTAATAAGTTTTTGTCTCGTATTGATTGTTGGTCTGTTGATAATGGTCCCATACTTAATCTGTCTAAATGTCAGGTTGTTAAGTTTAGCATGAGACATGAACAGCATAATGCTTGTACCATAGGAGACTCTTTGATAAACGCATTTTCAAAGGCCAATTATCTTGGTGTTACCTTTTTCCATGATCTCTCATGGTCTTCTCATGTTTTACTGTTATCGAAGAAAGTTTTCGGTTTGACTTACTACATAAAGAGGTCTCATGCTTTCGGGATTACTCGATATTTACTCTGACAATTTGTCAATTCCTGCATATCACCTTTTATTCTTTACTGTTCTCCATAATTCTTTCCCGGGCTTCTGAGTAAAGACTTTGCTGTATTGCGGAGAGTGCTGAAGACAGTTAGCAAGGTGTGTAGTGAATTTTTTGAGGTTATTATTATTGTGATTGTGGATAGACATTTAAAATCATGCAAACTCTTGGCAGGTATTGTCTTATCAGATACTAACCATCCCCCTTCATTAATGTCTTTCTCCTTGTATATCTTATGATAGAACGAAACGTAAATGCATTAAAATATCTATAATACCTTACCTAGCAAGTATACTCCGTGTTGTTAGAGTTGATCTAGTCAATAAACTGTTTTCTTAAGCATGTCTCTAATTTAAAAAGTTGTACAGATCTAGATCTTTTTCTTTTCTCCTTTGTTTTTTGTAAAAGAAACTTGTTGAAATATCATGTGCTGAGAATCTTGTATTGTACCAAAATATAATATTGAATAAAGCCATTAATAATAATAATAATTTTCTCAATGTCATGTTAATGATAAATAAGTTAGTTTTATCATTTACCAATATGTATGTTATCACCTTAATTCCTGTAAATATCACGAATAAAATATATCAGTAAATACTAATTACGTTATTTGGTTGTCGGAGGTTACTATTACTAATGATAAGGACCAAAATAACAGTTAATGTAATATACCTAACTTAGAAGAAATATGTGAAAATCAGGTCAAAATAACTTGTGTTCAAATTGAATACATAATTCAAGAAACTACTTCATAGTTAACTTTTAGCCCTCATAAACTTATACATCTAGAGATTATTTGACATATTGAAATTGATAATACTAAAGTTTATGGAGATCCTTTCATTAATTAGAAGTTTTACCATTTGCTGTTATAAATGCACTTTGAGAGTAAATGAAAATGAAAATAGTTACTGATACAATTTATTTATTTATTTTCAATCATTAATTTTTTGTAACTAACATTCAATACATAAATGTGTATTTTTGTGTTATTCATTTAATCACTGCCAAAATAAGCTATGCTTTACCATACACTTGTTTGATATGACCATCGACAATCTAAAAAAGTGAAGACATTTAAATGTTTTAAAGAAGCATTTTAAGTGAAGTGCACTCAAAGAATCAGCAGTTAGTCAGTCAATTAGTCATAGTAAATAATGCATTGACATTTATCGACATAAGTTGTCATATCTTACAGCATAGGAGGAAGAGGAGAAATTATTAAGTTAACATATTGTAAATTTAGAACAACATATATAAGCGAACAATATTGTTTTCCATTAAATCCTTATCAGGCTTTACTCTAATATAACAGTAATATTTATATGCATGTACAAAATTATTAAACCAATCAAGGTAATTTATAAGTCAATGATAACAATGAAAAAGATTACATAATAAGTGAAAAGTACAAATTGACAGTGTGATGACAGGTGTACTAGTTGTGACAAGATTAATAAAGGCTTAAATCAATGTAAGATAATCGGAAATAGGTCAGTGATTAGAAAAATATAGACAGTGAGGTAACATTTATAAAATTATAAGATTACGTAATAAGAGGTGTTCAGATAATTGGGCAATGTGGGCATATTTAAGAAAAAAATGATGGGAATAGGTGAAGAAAAATAAGCAAATAAAGAGTATGGAAAATAATAATAAATAAAATCATTGATTAAGGTTTTGGGAGAGATAAGAATGTCACAAATTTCTTATGAACACAAAGAATTGGATTGTTGGCTCGGATTCCTATAGCTTCTGCTATGTGTAAGAGACGAGATCGAGCACCATAGGAAAAAGTAGTAGGAACACAATAAATAACTTCAAATGACTTGTTTCTGTCCACTACATGACGGCTATCGATCAAGTGTGATAGAACCGAACTGCGTATTGTCCTGACATTACCTATTCATAAACACGAAGAGAGGTGTTCACTAACTCTTTGGTTCAGTTTCCTGGTAGTGCGCCCAATATAGCTTTCTCCGCAGGAGCAGCTGAATCCGTAGGTCCACATAGAAGTGGCATAACCAGGTAACTTATCCTTTAATTGGAGAATCACCATAGGTTGGGTCGAATACGATAGGATTAAACGTTCTCTTCATTGCACTAGTCAGTCTATCACGTAATAGATCACATCAATTTATACTCTTCACTTATTATGTAATCTTTTTCATTGTTATCATTAATTCATAAACTACCTTGATTGGTTTAATAATTTCGTATATTCATATAACTGTATATTAGAGTAAAACCTGATGAGAATCTAATCTAAAACAATATGGTTCGCCTATACATTTTGCTATAAATATAAAATAATTTGATAAGCTAACCATGAGGAAAAAAGAATAGAAAGAACAAATAAAATAGAGGAATAGGATGTCTAACGTAACAATAAACTCAAAAATTGAAAGAACACTAGTGAATGAACAGAGTTAAGTCATGGGGCTCTGTTTAAGGTAATCCCACTCAGCCTCTTCAGTCATTGTGCTGGCCCTAACCAGGAATCTCTATTAATCGATATCAATCAGAAAGGCATTCAATGATCCGATGGATTCGTGTTATCTCTTGATCTGCTCGTTAGGAGCTCTCTTCCCACCTGTTCTTATATCAATAAGCAATGGGTACCGGTGTGATCAGTGGTTATGTAGGCGCAACACAGTCATTTGGCCCATATATGTTCATGATTCTATCAACAGCCTCAAGGTTGAAGTATATTTTCTTTCAAGAACTGTGAGTGCACCAGAGAGGATAAGAAACAGCATTTAAAAAGACGATTATGTTAATTTTGCGTATGTGTCATCTTATCTTACGTTAGTGAATTATTCTGGATAATTTAAAACAGGATATGGATACTCTAAGAAGACACTTATCAATTTTCGGGCGTTCCAGCCATTCTATAGGTTATTAATTAAAAACTGATTCTATTCAATATCATTTTAGTGGAGCTAGATGGGTTCATAGTCGATGAATTTGGTATGCAGTTAATCAGAGGGATGTCTAGTTTGCTGATTGATTACATTATTTATTTTTCTTTGAATCACACGAAAGCAATTTTATCACTTACCTTCCATTTTACCAGTCCATTCAATACGAATAAAAGAAAAAAACATTACAAGAATTGAAGATTAGGTAGTGCGATCGATGTAGATATTCAATAATCTGTGTTTGTAGAATTCATAATATCAAATTACAGATGTGATAATGAAATTAGTTTTATCATTTTATTTCGTCTTTTTGGAAAATTTCACCTAATATTGGATTAGATATTGTCTTACGAATATTTGGTTTGATTTCTACAGATAAAATTAATTTAATGAAACGGAGTGTTACAGGATTATTACCTTGCACAGTAAATGTATGCTTGAATCAAGGCACATGTTTAATGGATCCATTGTTCAGCAAATTCAAGTGTATATGTGGGGCATATCATTCTGGTAATCTATGTGAGAAATTTAATAGCAGTATTTTCATCTGTTCAAAACTTGGTTTATGTAGACCACTTGGTGTAAGTGTTTCACTGTATAATAAAATATTTGAAATTCCCTTATGATTCTGTTAAACAATGTTTATTATTATTTAATGGTTGGCAGGTGTTATGAACCAGTAAAGACCTATTTTCTTATTAAAAAAATTCTTTAATTGTGCATGAACTAACATCGTAAACAATTTTTATGTAGAATAATAGTGTTGGAAAGATATTTATACAAGCCATTACTGACTACTTACAAGTAGTTCGAAAATTATAATCTATTCATTGTGCATTGTATCCTGACTTTATCCATTATTTAAGATTTGTTAAAATGAATTTGAAGTTAATGAAATGCATAATCTCCGTCCTGTTAGCCAGAAACTGTGGATCATGGTTGGTAAGGCTCCTTAAAACCCTATTACTTAATTGATATTCGCTGAAAAAATATTTTCTGTGATATGTTATTTAATTGTGAAGTTATGAGTTAACTTGCTCTTATAAAAGAGGTGGCATTATTTGCACTAAAGTTGGTCTTTTGGAGCATTATCTTGGTGTATAAATCCCTGCCATAAGCTCGATGCCAGAAGACATGACCAATACAGGTCATGCACCACTACGAGAATCATTATTCAAAGTGATCCACGCTGCCTAAATGAAATGACTAAAATATAGTTTTAACTAAAATTGTATATAGAACAGAGACTTGACTAATTTAACTATTAAGGCTTTATCCCTATCTCCAAAAATCATGGGCATGTTGTCTTATGTTACCTTGCTCAAAATCCTCGTTTTAGTCTCATGAGTTTTTTTCAATTTACCTATACTCGTCAAGTCGAGAAATGTCGTTCATTCCTCTTTTGTATTTATTATATTCACTGTAATGGTTCTTGTTACTTTCTGACTATTGCGCACCTTCTATTCTATACTTGTAATTGTTGAAAACGTTTCTAACTATTCAATACTATATTATTTAATAGGTGATATTCATTATGGATCTAACTTATTTTGGGCTTCATTGAAAAATCAGGGATCAGCACTCAGTTGAGGAATCGTGTACTGGGACAAAACACTTGTCCAGTGCTCCCTGGTTTCCAATGATGAATGATATTTGGTTAATCTGCAGTAAATTTCACACGCGAATTGAACAAAGCTCCCCAAAACCCCTTCGTCAATAACTGTTTATTTCGTTATAAATTACTATGCAAAAGAAATCACCTATAGATTTCGGTGAATGATAAGAAGTTTTATCTAAATTATCTTCATTTTTGAGGTGAAGCAAGATATTAGTTTTGATTATGTTCGTTATGAAAATATTAAGTCACAGTAAGTTTAGATGAGGATATACAAATAAATGAACTTAGGTTTATAGCAATTAGTCCCTTTAATAGATTTCGATAGTGTAATAAGAAGACGAAGATTATGTGATATGATTAGCTCAATACATTTCGAACAGTCTGATCACACATCTACTTGTCAAGAACATTTCTATATAAAAATAAAAGGTCAAATAGACTAAAAATGGAGGGCCAGAGAATACAGGGATAATAAGTAAGTAATCTGAAAACAATTTGAAACCTCATCACTCCGGATAATGGGTTAATATTACCAGGGTAGGTTTAAGGTGTGAACAAACAAAGGGTCTATAAACGTTTTAGAAGTATCTTAATATGAAGGTTTTTCATTCAACTACGTTGTCGTGTATTCATTTTCAAACTACCTCTTATTTGGCCTAACAATTTTGAAAACTCATAAAGTTTTAACTTGTGGGTATAGAAGATGATATGCATATACTTAAAGGTTCAATAACATTTCCATATAAATACAACAGGTTATTTAATCATTGAACACGACTGCTTTTTAAAAAAATATCTTGATGATAAATTCAACATATTTTATCAACCTTTTGTTATATCTAGAAGGTTTTTCTTGATATACCGCGTATAACGTGAGCACTAGAATGCCAGAACCCTTCCAAGTCGCAATGAGAAGACAGAAGACTAATGAAAGGAATATTATTCCCAGACAGTGTCAATTATAGTACAAAATTGTCAGGTATTTATAGTTTTTAGTAAGAACAAAATCATCATTACAGACCTCCAATCCGCATACACAGGGTTATTAGCATTGTCTAATCGGGAAGCTACACGTAGGAATTCTAAAATATCCTTTCAAAAGGTTATTGGATGGAATATCTTCGGCTCCTTCTGAACTTCTTACAGCTTACTCGAGTTCACCCGTTGTCCGTCGTCACACCCTTAATTGTGGTATAATTTCAACTTCAGTCTTACGAAACCTATCTAAAGTGTTGGAAGTAGTCACTGTCAGATAGTTAGAGGAAATTAACAAGAAACCAACCCTTTGACCACTTAACATCAAACCAAAGTTCGCAATGATATCTAAGCCCACTAAAACTATTTTCCAAAATGCACAATGGTCTGAAAAACTCTATTAACACTAAGAGACACTCACTATATCATTGGTTGTCATTGGATAATCAGCCAGTGAGATTTAAAGGTAAAGTTCATGACTTCCAACAGATTTTTTATAAAAGAAAACCAATGTGAACAACTAAACATCTTTATTCAAATAATCATATAAATAAGTATATAGTTTCCATTTCTTTATTCATTAGTTAACTGTTCTCATTTTTTCTATTCCAAATTAATTGGTTATTCAACTTAGCCATATCTATTTGGATTCAGTATTTTTATGCTTCTATGTATTCTTGTCACTTTTGGACATGGATTTTGTCTATTGTTTGATAAACTACTGAAATATAAAACTTCACAATTAAAATTTATTGGAAGTGTACAAAATTGTGATGAGAGAAAGCAGAATAGTAATAACCATGATTTAAATAATGAATCAAGAATTCAAGTGTCTAGTTCCTCTGTAAATAGAATGATGAATCAAAATCTATTTCTGAGAAATATGTCAAAACTAGATCAACATAAAAGTTTCTCAAATGTAAAAACTCGTGTTCATTTTAATGAAATAAAGCCAAAATACAAATGCTTAATACGTGATCAAGTCAAAATGTCACTAAATGAGGCTGATCAAAATCATCATGATATTATTAATTTAACTCGAATAAACAAGGATCAGTGTTTATTGATTCACAATGAAGTAAAATCGAAAAATCAGTAAGTTGGAAGTAAATATTATGATTATTATTTAACCTGTCAAAAATAACACTTTGTTTATAATGCGATCGTGACTAAAATCTTATTGTAATCACGTACGAATTGATTACTCATGAAGCTAAGCACAATGTCTTTCTTCACATCGGGATTCATATCAGTAGTATGTGATGCTAATCTTAAATGTTGATACACAACTAGATGACTATTGTCTATTGAATTCAAGAATTATTTTACGTTTATCTTATCGGAAAATTATTGTTTGTTGTTTAAGCATTTAATGGTTTATGTTTATAGTTGATGACAGTGAGAATGGATTAAGAATATCGGGATTCACCAGTTTTAATTGTGATGAACAGAAAGCTATAGAGAATGTATCTGTGTAGATATTTATTGCTTATGGGACAATAGTTATATTATCTCTATTGTGCGTGTGTGTCACTCCCTTTTGTATCAAGTTCAGAAGTTGAGAATTCTACAGATTTTATTCTCTACTGCTTTTCTAAATGAAGAGTTCTCATGATAACGACCAGTCAGTTAATACCCAATGTATTTAACTGTAAGACAATTACATATAGAAAGCATAGGTCATAGTCAAAACACTTGATCAGTTAACAGTTCGGACATATATGATTACCAATATTCCCATTGTCAACATTGAGAACATAAAATAATGAATCAGATTTGTATCTCGGGCAAAAACTTTTGGTCGGGTTGACTTTTCTAAACTCAGTGGCTTAACTAGAAACTGTTGGTTGCTGTTCCAGACAACATCATCAGCACTTGCCTCATTTGGAAATGAACTATTTAGTCACTTCACTGGCTCTAAATCAACCTATTACGATAAACAAGTTTGTGGATGGATCTCTTCAAAAGTTTCGTTACCTACGTCTGTCTTTGTATTTTTGCTGACTGTCTCGTTTGGTTTGCTTTTAGAAAGGTGATTGATTTACCTTATCCTTACAGAATGATGAACAGGGTTCACTTGTACATGCCTATTGATTGAGGTTGACCTGAATGTCATGATTTCAGAAGTTCTCTGATATTCTTTAAATTTTATCGATTCAAACTCATGTATACGGTTTTTTAAATGCACTGATTTGATGGATGACATGTCATGTCATGTAATTGTTATTCATGTGTGCGTAACAAACGAAGCGTCCACTATGCCATATGCTGTGTTTTTAGTACTTAGTGTAATTTATTTTGTAGATGATAATGAATTTGTCCTCTTTCGCTGTTATATCTTTTGGTCAGCATAAAGTTCAATAAAGTGTTCACTAAGAGATATAATTAGAGATCAAAAATATTTCTGCGTTTCCTCGATATGCTTCTATAATAAGATAACAAGACTGGAACTTAATTTTAAACTACCACTAGGTTAGATACTCGTTCGATATATTATACAAAACCCGAACCACATTATACCATGTACATGATTCCCGACCAAAGTGAAGAACTAGAATACATATAAGACATTACATTAGTTAACACAATTATTAGCAGTCCTCACTTAGTCCAGAATATAAAACAGTAATGGGAAATAAACCCTAAAGTAAATATTCAGTAAGATATATATGTCAGTTCACGGTGAATGGACAATCTCATTTACTTTCACTAGCCACAAATCACTAAACTAGTAATCTAGCTTCCGGTGTTAACTTGAATTGCAAAGTTAAGTACTTGATTAAAAAACAAATTCTTGAAGATCTAGTGAGTGCTCGTCATTTGTGAGTTTCTGTTATGTCTGCGGTGATGAATTTAACTCCTGTTGGGTTGGGTTCTCTAGCTGATTCCAGTTCATGATAAAACATTCCATAAACTTATATAGCCTCTTGAAGACTGCCCAATTAAACTCAAGGAAAATCATACATTTGTCTTATTCAAAAATTTGAATGATGCTTAAATAAAATTTCAACTAAAGATTTCATAATCTTTCTTATATCTATTATGAATTCATCATAAAATTGTTAATATAACTACTAATATTAATATTATCTGCCTTAACTTAGTTTACATTTCCAACCGATGCCAACTTTATTCATTAAAAAACCAAATTATTCAAATGAATTGGACGAAATATCTGAAAATGACAACCTTTATTTAAATGATAATTCCTACTTATCAAATGAGACTAAAGCTTCAATAAAATCATCGTCATCCAGACAAAAAGTTAATGTTAATGATGATAATTGTGGAGGATATGATAATGACGATGATGATGTTAATGGTGACGATAATGATAATAATGAAGACACATTATTATCACATTCCGCAAACAATCCATCTTTATCACAAACAAGTTCAAAATATCAACAGAATACGGAACATACTAACGCTTTATCAACATTTGCCATGACATCTTATTTAAACACACATCATAATCACAAAATATGTACTAAACATATACTTCGAGCTCACAAAAGAGATTCTTCTTTTTTTAAACGATTATTTAAATGTGGTTAGATTATGAGACATTCAACATGATAATGTGATACAAATAAATCTATAGTGAAAACAAATATACATCTACCTTTAACTTGTAGATATAATTCATCTTATTTGTCAATTTGTTCATCAGCTACAACAAATTCCAGCAGTCATAAGTCTGAAACTATTTCACAACTATTAGAAAATAGGAAAAATTATTCTGATTGAAAATCATGTCGACAATCAGTCAGCTTATATTGCTTCGCATTTATGGCGTAGTAATAATACTGATAGCGCTAGTGAGATTTGCATGGAATATGACAACGTTTTCAATTATTCACTGATATACTACTTGTAATATGAAATCTCTTCATTTCTATATCAAGATTATGTTAAATAAATTTGATTAGATCTCGTTTTAAAAAAATAACTATATAGTAATATTGATATTACGTTTATTGAAAATTTCATCTATGCTGGGTTTGTGACGAAATTTCGATTTTCTTAGTTTCATTTATTTTTAAAACTTAGATTCAATAAACAGAGCTTTATAGTAATGAAAGTATATAAATGCCTATAAACTAAGCCTCTATTGTTCAATATTATAGTTTAAATTAGTTGTGTGACTGCTGATATAAAACACCAACAAGTAATAGTCACCACACTCGTTAGGAGGTTAGTCAGTGATCTCATACACTATTTTATTCACACTAGTTTCTGTAGGCATACTTCAATAATTTCTATACAATGTTTGAGATTAGCATTTAACCGTACTAATCTAAATGAGAATACGTGATACGACGAAACGGAATCCAGATTTAAAGGAACTAAAAGTTCATTAAAAAAGGTGGAAATATTTTCAGCTTTTACGACATTCTAGTAAACAGTGAACGACTTTAATAAATAATATATAATAATATACATCAGATAGATTTTTTTCAGTTTCAGGTATTTTCATCAACAGAATGACAAGATAATCGGTTAACTGGTGATTGTTTGCTAGGGTATCATAAACATTACTAAGTTTAGAATTCGAGAGTGGATGTCCCATGTCATGCAGTAAAGAATTTAAGCTATGGAGCATTGTTTTTGTAGATGTTCCAAAAGGTATCTTTAACAGTGACCGAGGATAGATTTCGGTGAACCGCTGGCGTATTTAGCAAGAAAGGGAAAATTAGTACACATCTATTGAACTAATTAATCAGTGTAACTTATCCTTTATAATGATTTAATATGACATCCTGGTCACAGTAAGATATGCAGTTGTTCGTGATATGAATGGTATATCGCTAGTAATAATTCCATCAGTAACCAAGATCCAACGACAGTAATATTCTAGAAAATATGCACATAATCATCGAAAAATCTTTTAATACCCGACGTTTCTTAATAAGCTGTAACTGACATCCATTTTTAAGACAAACCGACTTAAATTATGTGTATTGACATCAGAAACCGATATACGTTAGATCACTATTGAGAACCTGGGTACACTGAATGGCTGTTTCGTTCTAGTACGGGATTCCTCGACAGTGCATACCCATGATCTCGCACATGGGATTCAAACCCAAGGCCTTCGGTCCCACGCGCAACCTCTAGACCATTGGTCCGAGATCCGACGGTGTATAATTTCAACCACTTCACAATGTTGTGCAATCGTCTTTCATTGACTTCGTTGATTAAATACTTCAACTCCACTGATTGCAGCTTCTCACAAGGACTCCAAGAATCACCTCTTGAAACTACTCACTAGCAAGCAAATAATAATAATCAGTTTATAGTTGTGGAGATTGTTGAATTTTTATTGAAATCATGAATTAAATAATATTCAATAACCACAAAAAAAAACTACTTAATTTATCATGATGTAGTTAACGTACAAATTTGATCATCACATAATTTATATGAATAAAACTATTTTAAACTATTTTGTTTATGAACAAGAATTGTTTCTTATTATGCAGAAATTGATTGGAAGATACATACTTTCATAGTGAAAATTATAAATGAATAAAATGGAAAATAATTTTCTATGAATAGTTTATACTAATTTTCTAAGATTAATTTTTAATCAACCAATTAATAAATAAATAAATTTTTTTATTATTAATGTGAATAGTTATAGATAATCAATAATTAATTGAAACCTGTAAATAAAATCAATTTTGATTCCACAATTAGTATCCAAATGGATGTATACAAATTTTTTTTTAATATAATTATGATGAATTCATTGAAATGATTCAGGAAAAATATAAATATTGTCAATAATTTATTTATTGAATAAATGAATAAGTTTTATTCATTAAAATAGTAATTATACATTTGTATTCATTTTAGAACAATTTGGAATTGAATGAGTTGATTGTATTTTTTTTAAATAAGATGATGATGATGATGATTTTAATGAATTGAATGTATCTGATAAACTGATTGGTATTTTCTTATTTATGATAGGTTTATCTTCTATTAAATATTCATTAGGTTCCATACATTCATGAGGTTGAATAAGCTTTTTAATTCTCTGTAAAGAAAAAAAAAGTTTTTTAAATGTAGGATTGAATGCATTAAATATTCAATAAAACTTCAGGTGATGCTATAATAATGGATAAGTAGATTTAAAAGTTTTCTTCAAAAAAAACCCCTTTGATATCATATGTACACTGATATCTCTCATAGATGGGCAAGTAATCATTGCTTTCAGATTGGTTATGTTTTATGAATTGAATTTATAAGCGAACACTTTGATGGCACTAATTAATTTTCCCTCATGGAATTTATTCAATAATTAATTTACATCGAAAAGGGCAATGAAACCAGTTACTACATTATTTTATATTCAGTTAATTCATGATGTAATTGACTGAAAGTGTTTTCAGTTCTATGATATTTACCTAATAATTTAAGGTTCTAGGATCTTCGATCTCAAACGAGGAATATATACCGCTCAATAGCATTCTCCATCCAACTCTGTCCGGGTCAATACTTTCCAGTTGTTTCCGGTTGCTGTTCATCCTTTTGATGCCTGCTTCCAATTCTTGAAGCAACGTGTACCTTGACCTTCCACTTTCTTCCTTCTCTTCAACATTCCATGTTAGCGCTTGCTTCGTGATATAGTTTGATGTTATCCTCAATGCATGTACTATCCACCTCCAGCATCTTTCCTAATTTCCTCTTGACTTAGAAACTAGTGTTTCTCTCTCACAGTGGGCTGTTGTTGATGGTATTCGTTCAACGGATATTCAGTATCCTGCGTAGACAATTGTTTAGAAATATTTGCACATTCTGATGATGGGTGTGGTAGATCTCCAAGTTTCACCTCCGTAAAATCAAACAATCTTGAAGTTCGCATTGAAGATTTGCACTCTAATATTGGTTGACAGTTGTTTTGAGTTCAATGTGTTCTTCAACTGTGGAAATGCTGTCCTTGCTTTGCCAATACTCACCACTACGTCTGCATCAGATCCTCAGCGCTTATCAATGATGCTATCTAGAAACGTGAAACTATCCACCTCTCAGAGTTTTTCCATCAAGTATGATTGGGTTGGTATTCAGTGTGTTGTACTTGAGGACCCTGCTGTTTCCTTTGTGCATGGTGAAACCTATTGATGCAGAAGCATCTGACCTGCATTCGTTCATGTGTATGGGATAGAAGGGCTAGGCTATCTGTGAAATCCAAATCGTCTAGTTGCATCCAACCTGTCCATTTTATTCCGTGCTTCCCGTCAGATGTCGAGGTCTTCACCATCCAATCAAACATTAGAAGAAAGAGAAATGGGGAGAGTAGGTAACCTTGTCCTAATCCGGTCCTCATCTGGAATGCGTCTATCAGCTGTCCTCCATGCATGACTTTGCAGTGTAGTCCATCGTATGAATGCAGGATGATATTGATGATTTTTTTAGGTACTAACATCATAGTCTCAAAAAGTTGCCATAATGTTCAACGCTTCTTCATAATCAAGGAAGTTGATGTGTAGTAACACGCTTCATTCAATTGATTGTTCAACGATGATCCGTAGTGTCGCGATTCGGTCTGTGCACTACCGATCCTTACGGAATCCAGCCTATCGATTTCAAAGTTGGGCGTCTACTGAATCTTCCATTCGGTCCAGCAACACTGTTGAAAACCTTTCCTGGTACTGACAGTAGTGTGATTTCTCTGTAGTTCTCACGTTTGCTCAGATCTCTTTTCTTTGGTATCTTGATGAGATGTCCTTCTTTCCAATTTGTCAGCACTTGTTCCTCCTCCCAAATCTTCCTGAATAGTGTGTAGCATGTTTGCAGTTGCTTCCATGTCTGAATTCAAAGCTTCAGCTGGTAGATTGTCAGGTCCTTCTGCTTTCCCGCTCTTGATTTGTCTGATGCCCATCCTAATTTCTTCGGTCTTCGGTGAAGTGACATTTGTAGGAATGTCTGTGTATGCTGTTTCGATATCCGGTGGATTCAATGTACCTTCTCTATCTAGTCGTTCATCGAAATTTTCCATCAATCTGTTCCTGAGTTCTTGAATTTCAGTGATTATCTTTCATTTGTTGTGTTTGACCGGTCTCTGGTCTACTAGCTTCCCCAGCTAGCTTCTCCGTTATATCATATAGTTGTTTCATATTTCCTTCTCTTGCAGCTTCATCCTCTGTCGTTGCTCTTCCAAGTATTTCTGCATGTCGGTTCTAATACTCTTCTTCCCTTACTTGTTTGCTTCTGTGTGTTTGGAATGTGCCTTGACTTCCTCTGTTCTTGTTAGGCTGTTATTATTGGTGTTTTCTTGTTTCTGCTTTCTTGAATCTTGTTCAGGGTTTAGATGGAGATCCATTCCTTATGATGATGCTTCTTGCTGCCCAGAACCTCCTGACACGTTGAAGTTAGTGCTGCTTTGATCCCTTTCAAGTTGTCCTCCATAATACTTTCTTCTACTTTGAGGAGATCTTGTAAGGCTTGGAACTTGTTATTGAGAGTTATCTTGAAGTTGTGTTTGTTTCAGAATTATTACTGTTAATTTAATCTTACTATTATGAAGATATATATTTTCAATTAAGTTC